AGACCTCAGATACTATCTGCATGGAGCTCATATGTTTTCTCTTGTTCAGGTGGATACCCTCTAGGAGCTCCGGTTTCCTTCCACAGTCCAAAAACATACTAGTAGTTTAACTTGCTTCTGGGAAAAGTTGGATCTGGTGTGAGTGTGTTTGTGTCTGTGTCTGTCTGTCCTGCGATGGACTGGCGACCTGTCCAGGGGGTACCCTCCCTTGCTCCTTTTGGGAAAGGCACTAGCTCCCCCTACAACCCATAATTGGAAGAAGTGTTTACAAAATGGATGGATGAGTAGTAGGAAAGCAGAATGTCTGATGTCAAAGCAAAATGAGCTCCAGAGTTTTGGTGCTTGCATGGTCTACTAAAAGTGAGGTCACAGGATGATTTACCTGAATTTGCTTGGACAACAGGTAAACACTTCTCAGAGACCTAAGAAAGATTGTAGGAGGTGAAAGAAAGAAGACTTCACCTCCTGGCTGGTAGAAGATTTTAAAACGAAATACCCATCCAAGCTATTGTTGCACCTTGGCAAAAAGTTTAACAAGCTAATCTTTCAGAGAGCCAAATGCTTCAGTGCTGCTTGTGGAGAGACTCTGTGAAAAGTCTGTGTTGAGTTGTAGATTGTTTTTTATTTTCATTGTGCGGAGAGGGGTATCCCATTAAGTGTATTGAGAGCACCAAGGGCTGTTTACAGGCAGCACTAAAGAGCCTCTGAATGACCAGGCTGAGGGAATAAGATGGGAAAGACAAGTCCTTGGGTGGTAATGTAATGTACAGTAATTATGCTGCAGATACATTATAGTCATCAATCCGTTAAAATATCGTTGTGTCTGTTTATAGACTTTGATCTCCATCAAGAAAAAAAGATCTCTGTAATGGCAGCCAAGTTGGTGCTGAGTCTCTGGTTATTGATTGGGCAGTAAATTTCATGTAAGTGTGTCCTCTGCTTCAGGACAAGGTGTTAATAAATTAAGGTTCAACCTCCATGAGGACATGATTTAAAAACTCCTGAAGTGGCAGAAGAAGATAACGCAATGGAACTCTGAAAGGAGCTTTTTGTCTTGTTGCTGAGAGGAAGAGATATTTATGTCACAGAAAAACACAAAGAAGGTAATACACATCTTCAGGTACAGAAATGTAGGTTATTTCTAAAGAAAGAAAGTTTCAGATTTGTAAAGGTGGGAATGCAATGTGACAGAGAACTTCACTCCTTCATATTAAACATAAACCAGCACCAAAATATTTCCACATGCTGTATTTTGGTCCAAACTCCATTGCAAATTCAGACTCTCTTAGGCTTTCCACACCAGCGTTATGTAATGAGACATCCAGAAAGAAAGCAAAACAGTTATTAAGAGCTGTTTAAATATAGTTTAAGCAAAAACCATGATTTATTCATGTGAAAACTGAAGTTGACAGCTTACTGGATGGCCTCTAAAGAGAAAGACATCATCTCCTCCTTGTGGAACGTCAATAGACTTTAGGTCGCAGAGAATATAAGTCGGGTCAGTTAAACACTGGTTTCCCCTCTCTCCAGTCTGAAGGTGGGGAGATTGGAGGCAGACATCCCAGTTGACAGCTGACACAACACTGCATGCTCAGAGCTCCTTGAGCCACTTGAACTGTTCTCATGATGCCCTCTGCCTATATGCCATTAAACACTCTGCACCAGTCTTCTCTGTGTACTCTTTACATACAAGGTTGTTCTATTTTGCTACCATTTCTGAGTAGTGCTGGTAATCTTCCCTCATGGGCATCCATACAAGTGAAAAACTATTCCCCACTTCAGTGCTTAATGCTTATTACTTAAATATCAGCTTTCTGTCATTCAAGAAGCCCCCTGCTATTGTATGCAAAATATTTTGTATGCTTTTCATTCCATTTTTATAAGAAAATAATCAAGGAAATTTAAGGTAAACTAGATGACAGCATCTTTTTCCATGATGTTCCATAATGTTCTGTACTAATACAACAAGATTTGCCGATTTGGATAGCCTAAAGTCTTCTTTTTTTGCATGAACAATATTATTTTTGAGGTGTAGTACAGCTGCTAATATAACATCCAATGCGTCATATTGTTCAGATTTGTTATATTATGGAACTGATCTTTAAATATGATATAAGAATACTGACTCTTGGCTATTATAATAAATAATCAGTAATTTGTACGGTGTACACCTCCAGTCTTGGCTAAATGTGTATTTATGTTTGGCTTTTTAGAAGATGAAGGATGATGCTATAAAAAACAGTAGAATGAATGGCACGTAGAAACAATTCAGTAGCAAAGACTGTGAGTTATTGACCAGAGTCAGGATACCAACTTATCTCGCTGGCACATGCTGTCAGTTCACCATGCCAAGTCCCAATCAATGTCTTGGTCCTAGTCCAACAGAGCACTTCCACTGCGGCTTGGCACTTAGCAGATTGGTTTCATGCAGAAACGCCAAGAGACATAGCATTGCAGAGCAGCAGAGCGGCAGAGCGACCCTGTGTGCACTGAACACTGAAACAGGATTCTTGCCAAATCTTTCCCTGTAGCTTCTTCATACTGTGAATAATAACTTTGAAAAAAAGGCAGAATCTATCATGAAATTACAAGAACAGTTACAAACAGGAAGAGTCCATTTGGCCCATAAAGCCCTTTTGGTATTTAGCAGTTAATTGATCTGAGGATTTCATCCAGATGTCTACAGAAAGAAGCCAGGAGTTCTGGTTTCAGCAACAGAGCTGGGCTATGCATTTCATATGTATAGATGGTTATACCTACTAACATTCTAAGGTCTATGAGGTATTAGCATTCTTGCTCACAATTCTAAAACAAGTTGATATTGCTGAAATAGGGCTTAAACTGCAGTGAGATGCCATTGATTATTATTGACAACATGTCTAATCCAAAAGTTGACATTAATGTCTGCTTCACCTCCCCCTGGTACCCTTAACAAGACCAAAGACAGCCATTCCTATTTTCTTTCACACATGCCATCACCAGATGATGAATGGATGAACCGGAATTCATAAGAAAACTCTGGTCTTTGTCCTAATGGGGTCAACGTCTAAGCTGATGTAAATATTAAAGATGTGTAACCCCTAGACATGCATTGTATACCTGAGTCTGTGGCTGCAGTATAACTGTAGTGAGGTTTATGGCTCTTCCATGATGCACAAACAGCATTAGCAGCCATATTTCCTGTTTAAAAGTAATCCTTCAGATAGTTGCTCCTTGTTTGTGTTATAGAAATGATGGGTCTGAGTTGATTATAGATGCTGTAGCGACTAGGCCTAGTATTTAACTTAGAATTAAGTGTTGTTAAAGATTTCTAATAATCTTTGTGTGCCTGACCAAGCAGCATGGTGCATGTCTATGGAAGGCACAAGAATGTGGCTAAGGAGGCCCCTCTGATAAGAGACATTGTAAAGCTGTATCAATGCTATACATTTAATGATATATATTTCAGGGCTCCAGCAAGTCTCCAGGCTGTTTTCTTCCCAAAAAACACAGATCAAAGATCAATTTACATCACCCAAATGAAGATCCACCAATTGTGAAATCTCAGCCAATCACCACCTGGAGATGTCACCCCATATAAACTGTAACCTAACACATTTTCGCCAGGTTCATCTACCAGCTATATCAATCTCTCCAAATAAACTGCCTGACTTTTCCAAACATGTGACTATAAGCAGTACGTGTCAGGACCAGACTTTTCTCCAAGACACCAGGCCAAGAGAGTCAGTAAATAATTCTGAATTCTGCCCAGGATATTCTTCCTGAACAGAAGAGATCTTATGTTCCCAACCCACTGTTATTTTTGCCTGATAAACAAAATTAGACTCTTTCAAAATCAAGAAATCCATGAGAAAAGATATATCATGGAATGAACTAAGCTTCCCTTTTTGTCTACCTTGAGGATCCGAAGAAGAAAAACTGTACACAGACAGATTTTAAAGACTGAAGTCAGCAGGACACTATTTTGACAGAGCTGCCTCAGGCCAACACAACTTGCTAAGCAGGGCAAGGCAAACGTTTTCTCTTCTGTCTGCACTCGTAGCCTCCCAGCACAGAGAAGCTACTGTACAATGGCGAAATCCACCCAGCTCATATTTACCAGTGCAAAGTTCAAACTCGTCAAGGATATTGTGCCAACGTATTGTTGAGTATAATTTCATTATTCAAATTCTAATTCTTGAGAGCTGAACTATTATTCCAAATGCATGTCTGATAATTAATTAATGAGAATCAGTGCATATTAACTTGTCTCTGAGAACATACGTGTTACAGATAGAACCTACAAGCTTGACTGTAACATGTTATAGTCAATGTGTATATTAACTCTTAAGTTATGAACCCTGTTCTTTGTTGGGAGAGGGGGAAGTTTGGAGTTCAAGCTGTCACACCTTCAGTCCAGCCTAAGGTGCCTTTATCACTTCCCTTTATAAATCCTCTTTTCCTGATGTCATCGTGGGAGCCTCCCTTTCAGGGAAACGCTCCATGTTCCGTGAAAAACCAACCAGCTGATCACAGTCGCCATGATGTCTTCGCTTATCTTAGAGCTCCTTCTGATATCGTCACCTCTCCCATGTCACACACCTGAAGAAGGATCCACAGTCAAATAAATCTTTTCCTGTTCCTTTGCAGCCTGCACATCCTGACGTAGCTACTTACTTGAATGTCTATTATACGTAAGTAAGTACAGAAATGTATATGTCTTATTAAAAATGCATTCTCACACACTTGTCATCTCATGATCTGGTCATGTGAGTGATTTTCTACAGGAGTATCACACCCTCTGTTAACATCACACTAAAACAGACATAAGCAGAAATTAGGTTAACGGGTTAGTACTGTAAAATTCATAACAGTGGGAGAAAATGTGTTGTTTCCTATGTATACAAAGAATGCTTTATATACCAAAAAATTTTAATCATTCATGTGTGTTTAAGTCTGTCACACCATGACAGGGATACACAATATTCAATAACAGAAAATCCTTTCAATTTGAGTGCAACAAACTCACAGTGCAATTTTTCACCGTTTAATTTCTTCATCTGTAATATAAATCAGCTTTCTGCATTAGCATGTACATCCAATCCTGTATGACACACATGACAAGCTACCAGACACTTTTGTGCCTGCTCTGTTTTGTGCTCAGTATTGTGTGGTCTATACACCTGCACAAGAGGTGTAAGATATTCAACAAACCAGAGGAAAACATTTGGTCCAGCGTGTTGCTTAGGTTGGTAGTAGGTGATCTCATCCAGCCTTTTGTTAAAAAAAACAGGTTTCAACGGTGTAGCCTATCTCCGTCTGTCAAGGGTTCCCCCGATTCTAGCCATCATATAACTAATGCTGTTGTTTTAAATTTAAAATGAATAAATGTAATAATAGTAAGCAACAAGAGCAACACCAGCGCTGTAAACCATACCCCACAATAGCAGCGCACATGGGGTACTGCGTGCTGCAGACGCTGTTTTTACCAGCTTGTCTCCAGTACTGTAATGCGCGCACGGACCTCAACGCACACAGCCAATCAAACGACACGGTCTGTAGCTACACTGATCGAAATTGCTAATGCGCCCCTAAGACCACACCTGATGCCCCTGGTAGGCAATCGTCTCGTAGCTACAATAGATGTTTTTTTTTTTCTGTCATAGTAATAGGCTAGATGAGAGAGTATGTGTGTAAGAGAGAGGATTGGGAGGGCAAGGATCAATATTATGTATCTCTACCGCGATCTGCAGCGGTGGTAGATTTTTGCCAGTTTTGACCACAAAGAGAGAGAGAAAATAAATGACAGACGAATCTGGCAGATTTCTGCCAATGGGAAACAATGGTAATTATAACGAATCAAATGTGATTTATCATTACCCCCCCTCCCTACACGCGCGCAGCTTTTTGAAGAGGACGTAAGCTACTGTCATACGTGAAAAGACAGCCGTGAGAACAGCAATCGCCGTTATTAAATGTCATTTTTTAAAAAAATAGCTGCCTCCTGCTTGACGGCGGTTTCCAGCAGCCCGTGCAGTATCTTTTAAAGCGAGATGGCAAAGCGAGCCCGCGGAGTGTCTCCGCTCCACCATCACCCGCAGCAGAGGTAGACTCCCGTGGCGCTCTGCTCGCCCATGCTGCTCCCGTGTGCACGATGAGCGTGGCTCTGCAAGACCTGCGGAACAATGTAAGTGGCGACGTTTGGGTCATTTTGATCTCTTCCTGTCTCGCAGAAATGGTAAGGCTGCGAGACGCCCAAGGTGCTGCGGAACAAGCAGAACCTGTCGCTCCTGCTCCGTCTCTCTGCCTGTGACTCGGGTGTTCTCCGCCTTTCAATATGTCAGCGCTGTATTACCATAGTTAGCTGTGTAGAGTCCGCTGTGTTCTCTTCGTCTTCTTCATCTTCTTCTTCTGCAGATAAACACAGAGATGCAAAGATTTTCTTGTTTGTTTTTTTTAATTGCGCTGGGAAAGGAGTTATAATGTTCAAGTTAGAGGGAAACCCAGTATTCCCGTACGTTGTGGAAATGCGAATTTATGTTGGTGCCTGCCGCAGCAAGTGCGAGTAGGAACGTGTTGCGCTTTTGAGTTGGGTTTACTTTTAATTCTTAATTCACCCTGTGAGAAATTGTTAAACTTTTGCGATATCAATTAAAAACAAATATCGTATAAACCGCAATCCTTCATCTGTTTGCTAGTTAGTTTGCTATTGCTACTATATATTTTGTGGTAGAAATAGGAGTAGCAAGTGGTAACGTAGCATAAGAACTAGTTAATAGTAATGATACAGAACTGATGAAAAACATTTGCTACATTATCATCTTATTCAGCAGATTTTTTAATGAAATACTGATTATACCCAGTTGATGACAACTGAATGCGATTCAATCCGTTGTAATACATTAATTGTATTTTCTTTGGCTGTGTAGTGCACCTGGCTACATTTAGTATGCACGCAGTACATTTCTACAGAAACGTTCAAGTGGGCGCATGGACGACTGCATTATAAAAATGATTTGTTACAGTTCAGGAGAAACAGCAGTACGTTTCATTCATTGAGGTGAGAAGATTTCGCTTTTCTTCCCGTTAGGTTACGGAGGTTTGAAGAGAACGGTCCCTGCCTTCATTACCCTGATTATTTATGAGGGGAGTGCGGAATATAACGTTTTCAGAAAAAAAAATTGTTAACGTAAACCAACTACACAGTCCTTTTATTTTTAAACTGAGATAAAGGGTGTTTCTGTGAAGATCTTACCGGGACGTACTCGCTCTTTTTCGCTTTACTGTCATTAGTCTAAGCCGTCTGCCTTCTTTTCTGCATTCAGTCGGTCCGACCGACGGTGCTTTTTCACGGTGAGCACACGTAGCCCTAGTCTTCATCGGAAGACACATTATAAGCCAGAGAAGGCCTTCGGTCCAGTTTGGCCGTTCGTCTGCTGCGAGCACAGTAGTCCAAGAGGATCCCGTTCATCTCTGTTTCCAGCGTGGTTTGGTCTCCTCTTAAGTCCTACTGTCAATGCAGAAAAACGAGAGCGCTGACCGTAGTGGAAAAAATTTCACCCCGCAATGTGTGGTTTTAACAATCCTGAGTTTGTTATCAACACCATTTCAGTTCTAACCGGAATATTAGTATTTTTACCTAAATTCAATATATGCCGAGAGAACGGAGTTTTGTTAACACGAGACACGTCAAAGCAGTTTTAACACTTTTGTAGATTTTAACAGAATTGACTTCTGTCAACTGTTTTCAAGTGATCTCTCTTGGGTGCTCCTAAAATGTTGTGCCTTGGGATGCTGAAGTGGGTTCTGTGCCATTTTTTCAGGGCTAATGTTGGATATTATTGGTTTAGTTTCCTTGTGTGCATACTTGTACATAATGATATGTATGAAATGTTCGTGGAAAATGCATTGGGATGGGGTGGGGCAGTATTGAGAATTAAGGTAATAAGGTGGTTATAGTTGAATTACAGGTCTTAATAGTCTGCGGACTGCAGGGGGGTTGTATTATAGAGCCTCCTTTTTACTGTGTAGAAAGCCCTGTGTAATTTCTCCTTTATCACCCTCACTGGCAGGTCAAACCTCCCAGATGAACTGGTTTTCAGACTAATGTATATTATCTGTTTCCTTGAGATCCCAGAGTAACAGTATGTGTGTGAGAGAGAGGGGGAGATAGTGAGAAACGGAGAGGAGCCTCAGAAAGTGCTCAGTGTCTGTTCCCTCTGAATGCATTGACACAGCTCACAACAGATCAGACATGGATAGTCTAGAATTGAGGTGGAGAGCTCCGATTTGTGAGATTTTTCCCTTTCAGGTGATTATTTTGCATTTACTTGCATGGAGAGTAGGAGAAGAGTTTTATAATCTGCTTTGCATCTGATAGAAATAAAAAGCAATTAATGTGATTATTAATAAGCCATAGCCAAGTACAGTGTTGTTTGTGCTAATTAACAACCCTGAATGTGTTGTAAATCAATTAGTACATCTAGACTGAGGGTGTTTGCTTTTATCTTCATTATCTGTTTAAAAGGCATAATTAATAACCCGATTATGTCCCATATGGTGCCTGTGGGGAACAGGAGACTAATATTCTAGAGGGACCAGGGTTCTTGCTGAGTTGCAGTGGAGGTCAAACCGGGCTCCTTGGACACTATTCAAGCATCCCCTCCAGAAAGAGCAAGGGGAACTTTTCACTGAGCGATAAAATGAACATCCTCATGTGGCTGCAGTCAGTGTTTCATTCGCTAATAGAACCGCTTGGGCTAAAGTTTGCTGTGGGTCAATCGGCTTGCAGCTCTGCCATCAATATTGTATCAATACTGTGAAAACAGTGACAGCCATGCTGCGAAGGGCGAGAGGGCTATTCTAATGCATTACAATTTCAAAATAATGGTTGAAGTAGTTCAGATGGGGTAGCTGCGTCAGCATGCGTAGGCTGCAAAGGAACAAGTAATAGGTTTATTCCATGCTGAAAAGAGAAGAAAACCTGAAGAAGGCTTCACAGCCGAAACATTGTGTTGTCTTTCTTCTCGTTTCAGCATGGAATAAACCTATTACTTATTTATAATAATGGGTGCATGAACCCTGAGATGGGTCCAGTTAAACGCTGCAAAAATTCAATTTCTTCTTCTTGGTGGCACTTCTTAGTGAAAGTTGGCACCACAAAACATTTCGGTCAGCGACAGTACAGTAAAGAGGAAGATCATTTGCTATTATTGGGAAGGTCAGGGTGGGTGACAAGTTCCTCCAGCTTGATTAAAGTACAGTCCAGAGCCTCTGCGATTGCCCCTCTTTGTGGTAATTTGGAATCAATAGGCTCCACAATTGCCCCTCCCTGGTTTCATTTGGCAAAGATGTGCCCCCACTCCTCTGATGCAAAACACCTGATCAGAGACCCTTCCTATTCCATTCTGTATGCTCTGGAAGTTCCCGGTCTCTTTTGGCATGGCTGTGTGACTTCCACGTGTGAAACACTCCCGACACCAATGTAAATTTAAGGACCAGTTGATCCTGTTCTCGTTAAAATATTACAGCCCTGCATTTATCACAAGATTCATTGCCTGGTGTGAAGGCAAGCACTGGGCCTTGGACCCTGAGAGATTTATTTTCTCTAGTCGGGCTGTTTTTTCCTCCTCTGTACCCAGTGGTCTTCTGCATCTTTATTGAAAATGTAAGAATGTCTATAAAGCACTGTATAGCAACTTGTTGTGAAGGGTGACATATAAAGAACCAAATATTACGTTCAGCAGGTTTTAGACTAATTTAGCACTACTTCAAAACTGACTTTGCAAAGGTTGAACTTCGGGCTGCACTAGACTGAAGTGAAACGGACCTCAGGCTTACCTCAGCTCTCCACAGAGAAGCTCAAAACCCATGTGAGAATTCACAATTTCCAATTTCATTGTTTACAAAATGTCATATTACATTTTTACATTCTTAGAGTCTTTTGCAGCAGTGTTTAGTTGTGGCTGTAACATTTTGCAGGCAAGGTATATTACATCAAAGATTTGTGATCATGCATACACCCCGGATTAATATTTTTGTGCAGGGAAGCCTAGTGTGTGGTGTCACTAATCACAATTCACTGGTCATCAGCCACTTGTGATGCTCTGCTATTGTCTCAAATTAAATCAAAATAAGAGATAAGCTTCTGTTGCTTTATCATCACTATTTGTTAATTTACTCTACACAGTCACTGGGACTACTAAATTGGCATCAGGACTGTTAGGTAATTTAACAATTAGATGCAGAACCATGTTGGCAGTCTCAGTGTGCTTTGAAATAATATGTCTGCACACTTTTAGTCTCCTTTTGAACAGTTTGTTGTCCTTTTAATATGTTGAGGTTAGTAAACGTAGATTCCTGCTCGGCCTGAGGGTGTTCCTGCAGTGTCTTTTCTGTTTCTTGCTGTGCCTCTAAAGCTTGTATGAAAGCTTTTATGATGTCTCCTAAAGTCTACAGATGTAAAAGGTAAGAATGCCTACAGCCAAATGAAATGCTTCTGAGGCAAAGTATGACTTCTACGTCTCAGATAAAAAGGGTTTAGGGTGGGCGCTAGAATCCCACAAATACCACCAATGTGTAAGACAGTCTGGTTGTAGATAGGTAGAAATTCTATCAGTACATGGTCTGAAACGTTTTCATCCTACATTTGAAGCCAAGTCAAGTCCCAGAGTCTACACCTACATTCTTCTGTTCCACTTAATTCTTTCCTCCTAGAAAGAGAACAGTACTTAAAGGTAAGCTGTGCCTGGGGCAAACTTATTGCTCCCAGGATAGACAAATGTGTGTGGTTCGCCCAATGTATTTATCCACAACAAAAACACATCTCTAGGTCCAGACTCTGAGCATTTCTTGTAGCCAAAGAGCTTAAAAACAGATTTCTTAGCTTCATAGCATAGTTTCCCACTAGAACTGACTATTGCAATGCCCTTCCCACTGGGGTATCTAAATCCACACTGAACAAACTTCAGTATGTCCTAAACTTGGCAGCCAGAATCCTGACTGGTCACATGCAAGTGATCACATTACTCCCATCCTGGAGTCCTTACACTGGCTTCCTATCAGATTTCATGTTGACTTCAAAATCCTTATGCTCACCTATAAACACTACATGGTTTAGTACTTCAGTATGTATATGACTTATTATCGTCTTACTTTCTACGTCTCAAACTTTGTCTTTCCAATTCT